GGATTGCTGGAGGTTATAGATCGATGGAATTAGATTGCTGGAGATTATAGATCGGTAGAATTGGATTGCTGGAGGTTATAGATCGATAGAATTGGATTGCTGGAGGTTATAGATCGATAGAATTGGATTGCTGGAGGTTATAGATCGATACAATTAGATTGCTGGAGGTTATAGATCGATACAATTGGATTGCTGGAGGTTATAGATCGATGGAATTGGATTGCTCGAGGTTATAGATCGACGGAATTGGATTGCTGGAGCTTATAGATCGACGGAATTGGATTGCTGCAGCTTATAGATCGATGGAATTGGATTGCTGGAGCTTATAGATCGATGGAATTGGATTGCTGGAGCTTATAGATCGATGGAATTGGATTGCTGATGCTTATAGATGGATGGAATTGGATTGCTGATGCTTATAGATGGATGGAATTGGATTGCTGAAGGTTATAGATCGATGGAATTGAATTGCTGGAGGCTATAGATCGATACAATTGGATTGTTGCAGGAATATTTGCTGTATTGCTAGATGTATGTGAAATTATCTCTCTTTATGGATTATTTACTAGTTATGATGATACGACAGATCGCTGACGCGCGCGGCAACTCATGGCAGTGGATCTACTTCTGCTCCATGATCATCCTCGGCGCCTTCTTTGTGATGAACCTCATCCTCGGTGTTCTCAGCGGGTCAGTCAATTACGAATACTTCCTAAGATAATATTTTATAGGTTAAATAATATTTTATACGTTAAATAATATTTTATAGGTTAAATAATATTTAATACATTAAATAATATTTTATATGTTAAATAATATTTTATAGGTTATATAATATTTTATACGTTGAATAATATTTTATACGTTAAATAATATTTTATAGGTTAAATAATATTTAATACATTAAATAATATTTTATATGTTAAATAATATTTTATAGGTTAAATAATGTTTTATACGTTAAATAATATTTTATAGGTTAAATAATATTTTATAGGTTAAATAATATTTTATACGTTAAATGATATTTTATACGTTATATAATACTTGGTCTTATGAAGAAGGATGTTTTACAAATAATTTGTCGAGGTTTCCAGAGATTTGCCGAATCGGGCATTAAATTGTACTGTCGTCTGATTTTCTTGAGATTGTTATTTTTTCAAGCTTCCTAATAAGAAAATATTAATTTATTCTGATTTTGGAGAACAAATAATATCCTGATGAATAATATCCCAATCGTAGACCTCGTTGAATTCATATTTAGAGAAGTATGCATAAAACTTTCGAACGATCCCAGTAATTTTTTCCAATTGGTTTAACTTCTGATCAAAAATAAGGAATTTACGACATCAGTTTCCGCAGTGCACGAGCTGGGTAACACATTTCGTTAGTATAGATAATTTATGGTAAATAATAGATAATTTAGTATAGATAATTTTTAGGTAAATGAAAGACCACCGCACACAAATTCGTACACAATAATTTCCCCCTCGCAATCTTGAAGATTTTGGTAAATTTTTAATTAAAATCAAGTGTTGTCTTCATATTCCAATTGTCATCACATTAGCAATGGTTGAATTCTCGTTAGACGTTCCTGATGAGAAAAAAATATATATAACATACTTTTTTATGTTGGAATAAAATGATTTAGAAGTCCGTGAGTGACTCACACACTCCACATCTTACTAGCAAATAAATCGCATCAGAACCTTACCCGAGCAAACTCAATTAGTTCATTAGAATTGTATTTTATTTAATTGAACCATTTTAGATTAATTTGCAATTTTCGATCGCGGAGCTCCCTTAAAACAATTACAAGTTTAATAGTATTTTATATCATTAATATATTTCCTGCGATAGTGTCTCTAATATCCTCCAACCCACGGGATAGTTCCTCTAATATCCTCCAACTTACGGACCCACGGGATAGTGTCTCTAATATCCTCCAACCCACGGGATAGTGCCTCTAATATCCTCCAACTTACGGACCCACGGGATAGTGTCTCTAATATCCCCCAACCCACGGGATAGTGCCTCTAATATCCCCCAACCCACGGGATAGTTCCTCTAATATCCCCCAACCCACGGGATAGTGCCCCTAATATCGTCCGACAATTGATTCAGATAAATAAAATATGCAAAATTAATCCGAAAAATTAAATCTAATTCCTTTAGACGTCACGAAAAGACAAACAGATCTCACTGGACGTCAAATTATTCATGAAGATTTTTAAAATTTGTTAACTGCGCAAATTTCAGATGAATTGTTTCATAAAATTTGAAGTAACTCGAATTGAAAAGCGCATCTTTATGCATTGCTGCGTTTTTTTCTATAATTGCAGCTTAATGATTGCTCTAAATTTGAAAATAACTTAGAATTTTCATTCGGAAATTTTTTAAAGAGTACTTTAATATGGAACTGAGCACATTTCCCCTCAAAAAAAAAAAAAAAAATAATAGTAATTGTTCATAAAATTTTCCTTCGAAAACTTTTTAAAGAAAACCTTGATATGAAACTGAGTACATCTTCCCTCCAAAAAAATAATAATTGTTCATTGAAATTAGCAAAAGTTGAGGAAAGTGCACACGGTACCCACAGAGAGTTCTCAAAAGAGAGGGAAAAAGCCCAAGCGAGGGGAGACTTCATGAAACTTCGTAAAAAGCAACAAATAGAAGAAGATCTCAGAGGCTACCTCGAGTGGATAACTGCTGCTGAGGACCTTGAATGTGATGGAGATGAAAAGAAAGAAACTGAGGGTAGGAGCCACATAAATCGCAATGTGGATTCGTTTTATTTTTGCGATGACTTTTCGTATTAACTCAATTGTTACGATTTTTCCTTGTAAAATTGTTTGATGACCCTTTTTTCTAACACTATTAATACTGTTTTTTTTTCTGGAAATGTTTAAGATTGCATCGTGCTTCCTGATACGCTTTTACGTTCGTTCGCAGTTCTTACTAGAAACTGAGACTGAATTAGCGTACAGTTTAATAACAACGATAAATGTAGACTGTAGACTGAAATGATCGAAGTGCATCTTCTCGGGGCTAGATTACCCCCTCTTTCTTGCCCGGCCATGTTTTATACTATAGATGATATATTATCAGATTTCTAGATGCTATTTTAACATATAATTCAAGCACGCTTGTTCAGCAACAAGAACAATCATAGGCCACATTAAATTTAAAAGGAAAGAGCGAAACCTTCAAGCTAACGATATATTATCAGATTAATAGATATTATATTAAAATATAATTCAAGCACGCTTGTTCAGTAACAAGAACAATCATATGCCACATTAAATTTAGAAGGGAAAAGCCACATCATCAAGTAATCGAATTTGTCCTCCTGGATCGACAGCCACGCGTCAATATGAAGGCTCGCTTTTTTCCTGGGTTCAAAACAGATTCTTTTACATATACTTTACATACTGAAATATTCCTTTAAATGATTTTCTATCACACAATGGCCTAAAAGAATACACTCTACGATATATTAGCATTTCTGAAGTACTTGTAAGTTTGTATAGGTCTCTTACGACCTGGAATTATATGCCTGCTCTCTGGTTTGATCTCACGGTTGAGTGATAACCTTTTTTTCTATTAATAACGAACAGTTTAAGTTAGCGTTGATTTACAGAGAGTTTACCGATTACGTAGCAATAGATTTTATTGTATCTAAGCATTTGAATTTTTTGCTTTCTAAATATCCATAATAAAAGCTTTGATGGGTTTTCCAGAAATTCATGATTTTGAAATGTGACAAATATTTGGATTAACTTAGTAGTGCCTGAATGTCAAAGGCAGTAGGAAGTACGAGCTCGATGCCTTGTAAACTCGTGAATTACAGCAATTATTGGGCTCACTAGGTGTTGTTTTAGCGCATTTTCTCATTTATGGGAAAAAAAGGCGCTATTATGTCCGTCTGTCCGTCCGTCCGTCAGTTCGTCTGTCCGTGACTTCACGTTTTCGTTGACGAGAAAATGCGCTCTGTCACTCACTGCAGTGAGTACTGAGTTATGTATTTTAAGTTATTGCTGTATCATTATCATGAATTTCTGCATCACTCACCCACGCAGTGAGTCGGACTCACCGGTCTGAAACTTGTCGGCGGCTCAACAGTATACTTTTTAGCCAACCCTGGTAATGCTTGCTAGAGTTTATTTCCCTTCTATAGCTAGATATCATAGACCAATGAGGTTTGTTTGCCTCTCACAAACTAACCGTAGTGAACAATTCTAAATTGAAGTAGTTTCTATCAGAAGCAGTTTATTGTGGCCCCAATTTTCAAAGTAGTTTCTATCAGGAACATTTTATTGCGGCCAATTATGGACCATTTTATTATCTTCCGCTGATCCGCCGACAATTTCTCAGTCTGCGTTTTGCTACATGTGTTCGCTTGCTCTTTAACTTTACTAACGTGGTTGTTGGTTAACTGGTTGTTGGTGTAGAGAGTTTTCGAAAGAGAGGGAGAAGGCAAAAGCGAGGGGAGACTTCCGTAAGCTGCGCGAGAAACAGCAGATTGAAGAAGACTTACGAGGCTATCTTGAGTGGATCACACACGCCGAGGACATCGAACCTGAGGGAGATGAGAAAAAGGAACCAGACGGTATGATGCTCTCATGTCATACCTCATGTCATACCCTCATATGCCCTCATGTCATACCCTCATATGCCCTCATGTCATACCCTCATATGCCCTCATGTCATACCCTCATGNATAAAATTAATCTTATAAGCTGTCTCTTATACACATCTAGATGTGTATAAGAGACAGCCATCATCTCTATCTAATATCCTGCTTCTTTCCTTACCACACTTATTTATTTTTCATACTCTTTCCTCAATTTAAATAAATTGAGGAAGTTTATTTATTATGTATTAGAAATTTATTCTTTATTATTTAAAATATTTATAAACTGATTCCAGAAATTTATTTCAGTTTCTGGAATCATTTTCGCTCGTATCGCCAGTGCACTTCCTTAAACATGGTTCTCGGTACCACATCTATCTTGCTATTCAACTATACTTAATTTTTTGCAATTTTCATAGCGATAAACACTACTGCGTATGATATATATGAGGTATTTGGTATTGTTCTACAAATAATATTAATTCTTCAATTCGACCTTTTCGTTTATACCTGCTTCCACTTTTGATCTCATTCATTCTTCGTTTTATCTCCACATTCGTTATTATTTCTAAATATTTTCCTAGAAACTATTCCATTTTTTCAATCATTCATTTCGATCTACTTCACCGATCTACTTCGATCTTCTTCTACTTTTCGATCTACTTCACCTCAATCTTTTATGCTTTTCCTTGTCTGTCATTTAACCTCTGCGAATTATTTCGCGCTGAGGAAATTCAACTTTTTAATCACTTAACATTAAATAATCCTAAATTCTCTCCCATCATTGATACATTGCAGTGTAGTGCCGCTCACCATCACTGCAGTGTAGTGCCGCTCACCATCACTGCAGTGTAGTGACGCTCACCATCACTGCAGTGTAGTGCCGCTCACCATCACTGCATGTGTAGTGACGCTCACCATCACTGCAGTGTAGTGACGCTCACCATCACTGCAGTGTAGTGACGCTCACCATCACTGCAGTGTAGTGACGCTAATAATTCGACTGCAAGTGTTTCCATTAAAGTGTAAACCGAATCTACAATATATTCTAATATATGAAATAAAATACAAAATGTTACATTGCTTCAGTGATCAATATACCAAAAGCGGTTGAAGGCAACTCACGTTTTCATTGCATCTTCACAATAAAATAAATTATATTATTATTGAATTATTATTATTATTATACACAAATTATTGCACTTAGCGAAGTGAAAATAACGTAACTGGAACGATGATCAAACGGAGGTTGAATAAATACAAATTATTTGTGTTTAACGATCAAAAGAATAAAATACCACATCGTTTTCGATACAAATAATCAAAGAACCTTTGTAAATGTAAGAATTGTAAGAATTGAAGAAGCGCTTGCAGTCAATCTGTTGATGTGATTGTTCTCTACCCACGATTGCCCCCTCTAGCATCTTCTAACTGCTCGTGTCTATAAACTCCTTCTTACTGTTAGCCTATAAAGATTTACTTAGCTTCTATGTCTACCTTGAGAGTGTTGAAGTATTTACACTTATTTATATTGGTGCCAGACATGCTGTGTTGTTTCTCGTCAATATTATTCCTACTGAAATAGAACACATTTGTAAATAGTTGTCTTCATTCCACCACGCTAGATTTGTGTTATTTTCTAGAGATTATTTTTTGGGTGATTGCATCGTATGCGACCGTCCATTTCTTAGCAGAGTTTTATTGTAAACTTGCCTTGGTTAAAATGCCTTAGACGTTGCTTTCTGACTACCAATCTTGTGCCGCCATAGTTGATTGGGCGGTGGTTTCTCTAGAGATTATTTTCATGATTTATCTGTGAACTACTACTATCATATGTGTTTTGTGTGGAGTATTTACTTTTTCATTAACGGGTGGTGAATATTGATACAAGAGAGTGAGTCTACTTCCATTTTGTTTGCACATTTATAACGAATAAAACGTTCTCTATTACAGATATGACTGGTAAATGCATTAAACTGGCTTGCATAGTTTGATTCCTGCGAAAAATTTAAAATCAGTCAATCGTTCACTTCACCTTGACTGCATTTTTCCAACATGACTGCCTTGCATGACGATCACTTGATAATGCAGTGCAGTTCCGTAGATTTTACAAAATATCGTCAGAGGCCGTTGCAATTTTTTTTCTTCAATCGATGAGCCATAGATATTACATGCCCGCGTATGTTTGTCACTGTAGATCTGTACAAATATTCGATTAGAAACTCCGATGTTTACCCTCTCCATCTATTAGTCACTTTGCACGCCATACCTTACGACAATTTCTCACCGAAAGTATAGCATTGATCTCAGAATACCGTACGAACATCCATGTGAAAATATGCATCACGATTTCTCGCTATAATTTGATCCCCGAACACTGCCACGAATTCCGTGTACACATTTTATTGCGGCATGTGCAGTTCAATTTCGAGGTCTGAACACCAACATAATTCGATTTATAGATCATGTTATTCGGTTAACATTAATTTTGTAACGAGGAATCTGTCAATTAAGCGAATCTTTTTTTTGTTTCATAATGATTCACAATAAACGAAATAAGTTCCAGCGAAGATATTAGCGTGGATCAGCTGACCATTGCACTCTCACGAAGGCTGTTACGTCTATCACTTGATACCTTAAGCGCGTCTCGGTATATGCGTATTTTTATGCACGTATTCAACACGAAGGATGTTACGTCTATCACTTAATACCTTAAGCGCGTCTCGGTATATGCGTATTTCTGTGTACGTAATTCAACAATCAATCGATTTCCGCCAGACATTTTACGACCTTATTCTGGTTAGTCCTTCTCCGCGGCAACGAAAGTCGGAACAACATTTGCCGAAAATTTTTTTAGCTGCATTCATTTCAAATATTAAAAATTATTAGAAAATTGAAAAAAAATCCCGTCCATTCGTGTAATATAAAATTTTATTGCGCAACTAAACGAGTTGATGGAAGACGATAGTCACCTTAAATGCATATCGTATTGTTTTATCAATCAAATAAACTTTGAACCAAAACAAATAGTAACTATCGATTTGCTATAAAAAAGAGCGAAGTACAGCCGAGAAGTTTTGAGTTGAGAAAGTTTCCTAATTCATGAATGTATAAAAAGTTTAGGCGAGAAATTGTGCGAGATGGATTGGAATTAGACATAACCGTTATATAGGTTGGCATAGCAAGACTTACAGAGAATCGTGGCTGAAGTGAGTGTTATAATGCCAAGCAATCATTGCCAAAATTAATTCAATTATACCGAAGGCAAATTGCGCACAGATTTTTCAAGAGTTGACAAATCTGTAAATTCAGTTTTTTTTTCGATCCTAAATATCGATAAAATCTGATTTTTATTTGCTTTTTATTTGACGCTCATTATGATGCAGGGCGATAAAAATGAAAAAAACTATATTAAATTCATTAATAGAAAACGGGAAGCAGCGACGTTTGAAGATAAAAAAAACTCGTTAAAAAATTTTATAATTATTATTTGAACGGAAATAAACAGGGAAGGTGGCATTCAACTCAGTGTTAGTAAATGGTCAGAATTTATTGCGTTTAAATTCAATTTGAGGAGCAAAATTCTGATAATTTCGCGCCTTTTGGTGTTGTGTCGGCGAGCAGAGGGCGGCGGGGGGCGGCGCTTCGTAATCCCCGGCGCGGGGGGGCGTGGCACTACATCCATCGCATCACCTACATCCCTACTGCTCTTCTTACCTCTATTGTCTATGCGTAACTGTATGTATATTAAGAGTCCCTTTACTACTTAATACAAGAATTACTACTTTACAATCTCCCCTACCCAGACCATGCACTTCCCAGTGAAAATTTACAGACGCGGCAGCTTCTGATTTGGATTAACAGAAGCTGGGGCGACTCTAAATTTTGTTAGGGTACCTATCGTATGTATTTATTTTGAAGACCCTTCAAAACCCGCGACGCAAGCACTGCTGCTTCTCCACCACTCTAATGAAGCTCCTACATCGTGCACTATGATACGCATGTATTTGTACTAAGCCCACACACCAAACACCAAGTTCATTGTGTACGTTGAAAGGTGATTTCCTGAACTGCACAAATGTGTACGTCGATACACGATTGTCCCTCTCGAATCGCACATGTACAATCATTTTCATCCCTAATTTCAACTAGAGTTATTACTGCAAGGATAACTCTTTTATGATGTCTCAATTAACAACAACCACACCATGAATGTGTACTGATTTATGAGATATTTTCAAGTGCTTATTATACAGCTACAGACAAGAATCCTCAACGGCCTTTTTTTTGAAGCGGCCGCGAATTTTCATCGGGTTTAAACATTTTTTCCCCTACAAACCCTGTACAATGTCCATATACAACTGAGGGCCCCCTATTCAATACTCAACACCAATGTACTCATAAGATGACAGCAAATTCATCACATCATTTGAAGATAATGCCAGAAATATTCTGAAGTCGAACTTAACAACTTCACACTCGATTCTACCCTCTCGCCCCAAACCAAAACTTTCCACGCAGTGACCCTTTGTTACAGTAACTGCCGTAACGTTCGTTACTTGTGCACGCAATCCAGTGATTTGTTCTCGAATGTTCATGAATTTTTTTGTGAAATATTAGCAGGCTCCCGGAAATATCACGATTCACTCGTGAGTGAATAATGATTAAAATTTAGATAAGCTTGTATCTCGGGTTAATTATGTTATGATTTGTCATAAGATTATCGTTGTTAATTCGAGCAAATTGTATCGAATATACAGAGAACATTGCGAGAAATACACTAGTCTGAATCATATTCTGAAATAGTTAACTCCTGAATGAAATTGTGATTTGAATTTTCGTTTATTTTGCCATTAAGTGAGATGGCTATAAATTTAAACGGAGTATTGGACTCGACACGATCTATAGGAGCGAGAAATCGGATCAAGGTAGAGGGTAAAGTTATAACTTTACCCTCTAATCCCCTCGTCGCATGAGCTTCTCGTGCGAAGAGCAACCTGGCAAAAAAAACTACGAGAATAATTGCTCATACTGGCATTCTTTATATGTTCAACGGGAATCAATATTTTTCTTGTAAATTACGATATTTTTTCATGATTTCCAATGTAATTGTTATAAAATTTATCAGGTTTACGATAATTTCTGTGATAAAGCTGGCACTGATATCGAAGGGCCGAAGAGATACCATTTGTCGTCAAATTTCAAGCTCAACAGTATAACTCCCTCAACTGAACTTTTACTCAATATATGTTTCAGAATATGAGCATAAATAGCGACTGATTAATTACACATGCTATAGGTGCAAACTTCAGAGCTCTATTAAGAGCGACTCGCTTTTTCTCACTGCATTGTTCAGACTTTCTTTTTGTACTAAAAGCATTTGTATTATTATTATACACAAAGTGTTCTACACTATAAACACGAAATGGGCATTACAGAGGCAACCGATCACTCTTGTTTTTGGCTCGTTCACTGCAAAATGCAGATTTTTTTCGATTTTCTGGGAAGCGCTTTTCTCCCTTGCAACGTTGTCCTGGTTTACTTTAATCTTCGTCAACAAAGATTGCGAATATCTATTACCTAATTTTAGTTCCAATACACATAACAATTATTCGACTGTTTCGTCCAATTTAAAGACGCACTTGAAGTATCGAAAGTGTTCATAGCGATCAATTTAACAAGCCCCCTTCAAAATGAAATAAAACAAAAATTTAAATAGAATGAATATACTCGGAATTCAAGACTATTTGCTCATCTTAAGTCATTGCTATGCCCAAGAATAACTTTAAGCTTCCTAACACTAGTTCTCTCCCCTAAATTGTTATTAGCGCACTAGATTGCCTGTATTCGAGTCATGAGTTGCTAGTCTTTGTAGTTTACCCTTTAGCGCCCCACCGGTGCATGCGTTCATGGTTCTTGAATGCGTAAAGTAATTGTTCTATCAACTGCATGTTAGTTTTCGAACGTTTTCCTGCATGGAGTGAATCTCATTGTGTTTTGAAAATAATGTTGGCCGTGAGCGATTGTACTCCGCTCAACACTGGCTCTGGTGCACCAGTTTTTGGATGCAAGGATTTGTTGAAAATAGATAGGTTTACCGTAATACTAATTTATTTATTATGAACGTTTATTGATCATTTATTATTTGAAGGCATTGACCCTAGCAATAATTTTGCGGTTGATTACTGGTCGAGACAATATGAAGCTATTTGGCATGAAAATTTAATAGGAGAGATCTAAAATATAGTTTTATCAGTAGCTGTTTTCTCCATACCAATTTTAGTGCCATTTTATCGTCAATAAATGCTACTTTAAGATTTTATTGAATTAATGCGTCAAAATATTGTTCACGGCAGCATGAGTTCTCGAACTCCTTCCATTCAAATCCTCATTAATTAATAAAATATTTAAATTCCCGACTACAGCTGCTTCTTAATTGAGTCAAACTTAATTAATTAAAAACCTAATTTATACCATCGATTTTCAGTCAGGTTGTCACGTGTTTTTTTATTCAACAAACGCTTGCACCTTTTTTAAGAATTTTTCTGGAAAATAACTCAATCTGCCTGTTATTCATTAATTCTCATCTTTTATTGAAATGAAATATTGATTCCGAAAATTTGTGGAGACTTTTCTTTAGTCTCAACTTTATTGTGCTTTCGTGATACGCAACTTGAGTTTTTTTGCGAATGCCGGTGTCATTTTCATAACAACATAATCGACACTTTTTATTAAGCACAATAGTTTGTTTTTATAGGCCTGTGAATGGTTATTATTCGATTACTTTTGAAAGCTGCAATTCATTGCTTACTAGAGCACTGCAAGCAAGATTTATGACATTAAATTCTAAAATATGATAAATTCTAAATTATGATATTTCTTAAATAAAGCTCGTAGTGACCAAAAAACATTATCTTTAGTCCTATGCGTGTCTCGGAATTTTAAATTTTCATAAATTTCATTTCGTAGAAAGTTCATTTTCCAGTTGTTTCCGATTATGAAGTATCTCGGCTATAATTTTTATCAGCTATAATATCAGTTTGCTATTATCAAGTGCTGTAGGACTTTGCACAATTTTAAATTTTCACTGAGAAAAGCTAAAAATATATCCCAATGAAATAATCAAGATAAATTAACTAACTAGAGAAATTATAACTAAGTTTATTCGTTTAGTATTTGATTTTTTCTTGAAACGTTTGACTAACGTTGAATAGTTGTGTTGAATTTGTTATTTGTGTGTTGCAGCAAAAACCGTCGAGGTGGAGTCCATGGACCGGGGGGAGGATGGGGAGGAGGGGTCCCAGCCCTCCCCTTGGGAGAAGAGGAAGAAGGGATTTGACCGGTGAGAATATATTCCTGTTATTCTTTTGTTATCTTTTTAGCGCATTTTCTCATTTATGGAAAAAATGCACTACGTCATGTCCGCCTGTCCGTCCGTCTGTCTGTCCGTCCGTGACTTCACGTTTTCGTCGACGAGAAAATGCGCTCTCTGTCACTCACTGCAGTGAGCACTGAGTTATATTTTTTTTCGTTGCTTAACTTATGGAAGTTGAGTAAGGTGCTGAATTTGGTTCCATATAAATTTGTTTGTTATTCGGTTATTTTTCCAATGATAATGCATTCATTTAGTGATTTATTGCATATCTGATCGATCTATATTTGAATAATTTCACTGGCGGAATGATTTATAAAATTCATTGGTTCAATAGTAGATTTTTTAAATGTGGAATTTAATTTCGTCTCAATGAGTCAATGTTTCAGCGTAATCTTCCACAATCTGATGAGTAATGGAGTTACGATTAAAAATATATCGAGCGAATTATTTCAATGGATATTATTCTATATTACATTCGATGGCCTATCATATGGCGGCTGCTAGTCTCTTCACTAATCACTTATGGTCTTTCCACTAGTTCCTGTGCTAATTTTCTAACTATTTGATAGTTAGAAAATTAGCTAGTTTTCTATTTGATAGTTAGAATTAAAATGTTTCATAGATGATTGCTAGATTTGCATGATGTAATATTAGTGTCATATGAGCAGCGTTTATCTTCTTAGTCAGAGAAACAGTGTTCATAACTACTAAAAATACTTATTATGACGAATTTAGTTCTATTACACTAGTTAGTTATGAACTAATGTGATTATTCCAGATTGTAATATCATCATTAGTTTGATTAGTTGTTGCATACTTAGCACTAGTACTTTATGCTGCCTGCGCTTCATAAATAGTCCTACATTTATAGAAACTATAGGAAGGCTAATTAATTTTTAACAGTAATCTTTAGCAGCGAGTTGTTCTAGATTTAGCATTCTTCTGAATTATCCCAGTGGCGTGGAACGCCAGCAAATTTCTATTTTGAACTTGAATTTTTCCTTTAGTAGGAATAGTTTCGTGGAACGCCAGCATATTCTATTATAGAATTAAAGTTTTCCTTTAGTAGGAATAGTTTTTACTACGGCCTCGTCGCATATTAAGCTTACGAACTTTTTTCTCTGACATTGTAGCTTCGTGAAGAGCACGCTCGGGTGGGTGTCTCTCCGTGTTCGGTAACTGTGTGACTTTTCGATCAGGACACATCATCTCAATCATTGATCACGAATTTTAAAGAGACAGAACATCTTGCAACAACGAACTTTTGACTCGATCGTGATTTTCGATTTCCAATCTTTCAAGTCGATCTATTCACATAAACTTGTCGTGATCTTATGACCTATTAACTCAACTTCTCAGAGGTATTCGATCGTTTCAATTGATCGTTGTGCTCGATCGTTGTTCTCAATTGTTTGATTCGATCATGTTTTTGATGACTCGAACTAGAGTCGTACACCGTTGTTCTTTAACTGTGTGACCTTTCCATGCACTGCAAGGTATAGTTTTAACGAAATTTTATCTATGGCAACGTATCACTGCCCACACCAAAGCTTCATGCATTAGTTTCTTACCCTTGTAATCCGCAATAAATCCGTTTCCAATGCATTGGCCACTTCCCGAGGTCGCCTGTGTGAACGCTCAATGAATTGTCATGCGCTAATGTCATTTCAATGTGTATAACACTGAATGATGATATCGGATGGCCAAACAGATACTTACTGATGAAAAAATTGCAATTTCCAGATGTTTGTACTTTCTTTGGAGCTTGAAAAAGTTTTTTACTGCACAACGAAAAGCTCCCATAAGTTATACGCTATATAGCAAAATTTAGATACGGCCAGACTTTTCAATAGGTGCCGCCTAAGAGTCGGAAAGGACGTAGACTAGTCGCTCATATATAGTCCGCTTCGGCTCAAACGTTTGCAACTATGAGGTCGGGAAGGAGATTCTGACCAGGAGCTGATCAAAAAACTTTGAGCCGAGTGGAGCGACTCTGAGGCAGAAGCCTAGGTGGTACTCGAATTTTGTTTGGGCTGCAGTACGTTCGTAACAATATTGAAGAAAAATGGAATACCCATAATTAATACTTGCTAATAATGCATTGAGCGCGGCTCCCGATAGTTGCCTGAATTATTCAATTAATATTTCATTCAAAAAAATTATTGAAGGTACATAAACTGCTGCCATAATGCATATTCAAAATCCTTCACATTCAATTTAAGACGAATGCTCATGAGCTTTCATCTTGAACTTGCTTGCCATAAAATAAATTTTTTTAATTTGTTCTCGCTACTAATATATCGGCCCGTAGTTATTCGAGGTGGTTCTTCATAAGATTTATTCGTAAATCAAACTTATTCTAAGTATCTATTCAAATTATGTGCAATGCAATGCTCGAATTACAATCTTGGTAACTGCAACATCGTAAGATCCCAGGCTTTGGAAAACTCACGAAGATGGCCAAAAATAAACCCCCTGCTTTGGTACCTTTCATCAGCGAAGCTTGTCCTAGTTAACAATTGTTTACATTTTCAGATTGTTTGACATTGTGATGTTTTTCGATTTTCATGTTCAAATATATTTCGAAACAATAAATAAGTTTTTATTTAGCGTTGAGCTTACGCCCGCTTGACGTGACGCATGAGTTTCAGTTTCTTTAATCCCAGTTCCTTCAAGGTATATTTGAATATAAATATAAGCATCTCCCAAACAATTACCAAACAATTACTGCACCGAGTGACATAATCGTCAACGCTAGGGCGATAATCGCAATCTGTATCGTAGACGACGCCATTTAATTTTAATAAACTGCAGAACTGATCGTGGCGTATATAGAACTTATTTTGTTGTTCTTATCGATTTTACTTAAAATCAATGTTTTTCCCCATTAATTTATGATAAGTAATGAATTTAATTCGTTTAATATTGGATGGTAAATGAATTATTAAATTGATAAATTACTTGAAATGATTTAATATCGACACCGATATTTATGAATGAAATGAAACTGACGCTGACATTAATGAAATACTCATTTATTCCTTAAAATTATCCTCGTTATATGGCCGCTAAAATTCCGAAGAGGCATGAAAAATATATTTAATTGGGACAAAATTAAGTAACTTTTGACGCCCTCTAAATTCCTTTGTTTTCGTTTTATAAGCCATATTCTCCTGGATACCAAGACATGTGAAGTCGTCGTTTCTGTACACATTCCCTTGTTTTTATTGTTCAGAATGTATTTTGCATCATTTTAGGTAGTGGGAGTGATGAATACGTATGAATAGCACGCACACAAAAAAATGAATGGGCATTACTGTCCAAATCCTGACGCACTTAGCTACAGCAAGAGCATAGAGCGGATCTCGCACTAATTCCCAGTGAAAATTTACAGACGCGGCTGCTTCTCATTTGGGTTACCAGAAGCTGGGGCGACTCTAAATTTGTTAGGGAATTTGCTTTTTCGCCGGGCAAAACTGTGTCAGGATGACCCGCAATAATGCAAAGAGAACATTGCTATTTGGACAAAGTCTAGCTCATTTATTTGAGTGCGACAACATTTGTGTGCGGAACATTCGTTTGATTTTAACATCTTTTCTTACTAACCCTAAAGCTTTGCCAGACGCCATTTGCAGGAACTCTGACAAATTAAACTTCTTGATTTTTATCCTCTCATTTACACAATTTTTTACCATTTCAAAACTTAATTAGTTTTTTCTATTCCTTGATATTTGTTTCAATGATTTGTATTCGTTCCGATGTGGTTCACTCTTTATCTTATGATGTCGTATTAAATAAGTCGTCATTATTCTGGGAAAAATAGAACGAAATAGAATAGTGATTTATATAATTAAGAGAACATCTATTAGAACTTTTAAATGAAGTTGTTAATTACTCAGGTCAGCATTGAATTTTACCGTCATCAAAATACATTATCATCTTTAAAGAATATCTAATGGATTTAAAATTCACAGCATTAACCGGCGCTGCAGAAGAGCGTGTAGGAAAGCCGTGAAGAGTCAAGCCTTCTACTGGCTGATTATTGTGCTAGTGTTCCTGAACACTGCCGTGCTCGCTAGTGAACACTATAAACAGCCGCAGTGGCTCAGCCATTTCCAGGGTGAGTGTTCTGGCTATTATTGTGGGGTAATTGTAATTAATATTAAACGATTCATTGATATAAATTGTATCAGACAACCGCAGTGGCTCAGCCATTTCCAGGGTGAGTGTTCTGGCTATTATTGTGATGTAATTGTAATTAATATTGAACGACTCATTGATAGGAAATTATATCAAACAGCCGTATAGTGGCTCAGCCATTTCGTGCGTGAGCATTATGGCTATTATTGTGGGGTAACTCTTGTACTTAATATTGAACGACTCATCGATAGGAAATTGTAACAAATGGGTCTCTTGACGCTTGTCTAATATTAACTTGTCTTTTTTTCATTAATATTAACTTTTTTCATGCAAATTTAATTGAGAAAATTACTATTATATCATTATATTGACCCTATTATCAATTGCAATTTATAGAATTAGCTAATTGTAGTCAGAAGATTTTCCAACATTTTTTAGGTTGCTGCAATGCATAGTGCATTGTTTTGACCTCTAGATTATGGAATTATGGGCCAAATGATAATTTTATGCAAGTATTTAAGCCACTTTACCCGCACAGATTACGTGAACATCTTCTTCGTGGTGCTCTTCACGTGCGAAATGTTCCTCAAAATGTACAGCTTGGGCTTCCAGGTGAACAGTAGATTAGCATTAATTGTTTACAGTTGATATCGCATATACGTATTTATAAAAAATTCATTTTCTCCATAAATCTACGGGAATCGCAACCACTCTTTCAGATGTAATACATGAGCTTCCAGGTGAACAGTAGATTACTATTAATTGTTTGTCAGTTGATATCGTTTACTTGTTGAGCTCCTTTATCAATTAATCGAGCCTCCGCATCTATTAATTAAACGCCCCAATCAATTAGTTCCTGTTGCTGTTTGGGTTTAAGTTAATAATTTAAAATGATCAAAGTTTCTAAGCAAGATTTCCGACGGTGGTATTTCTTTCGAATTTCTATGTAGAATTTTCAGATAAAATTTCGATGTAGAATCTCCGTAACAAGATTCGCTATTAAAAGTTCTTAACCCCTATTGCTTATCACGATTTCCTCGTATGCGATTTAATAAATAAAAATTATTATCAATCGAAATTATTACTTTTTTTTATAGCCCATCAATAACATGTACCGTAGCTGTGAGATGATACTTGCACGATATCGTATCACACTTACCTTACGAGACTTTTTTTAATAGTGCATACTATTACTGTTTTTACATAAGGTTTCTAATAGTGCATGCTATTAAGGTTTTTACAGTGCATTTTATTACATATGGTTTTTAATAGTGCATCTACTATGGTTTTCAATAGTGCATAGTGCATACTATCAAGATTTTTACTAGTGCATACTATTAAGGTTTTTACAGTGCATTTTATTACATAAGGTTTTTAATGGTGCATACATTACGGTTTTTACATGAAATTTTATTACATTAGGTTTTTAATAGTGCATATTATTAAAATTTTTACAGTACATTTTATTACATAAGATTACACCATAGTTTATTACACCATAGTTATAACTCATGCTCATCTCTACAGGGCTACTTCGTGTCTCTTTTGAACCGCTTCGACACCATTAATATTTCTACAGTGCATTTTATTGCACAAGGTTTTTAATAGTGCATCTACTAAGATTTTTAATAATGCATACCGTCACCATAGTTGTAACTCACCCCCGTCTCTGCAGGGCTACTTCGTGTCTCTGTTCAACCGCTTCGACTGCTTCGTGGTGATCAGCTCCATCACGGAGGTGGTGCTCACCGCTACAGAGATCATGCCGCCCCTCGGCGTCTCTGTGCTCAGATGCGTCAGGCTGCTCAGGGTCTTCAAAGTAACCAAGTGAGACCCGCCGACCAGGGTTGGTAGGAGGGTTCACCCAGGGCTTAGACCCGGCACGCAGCGTTTAGACCCTGGAGGGTAGGCAGGGTTGGGTTTACACCCTGCAGGGTAGGCAGGGTCGGGTTCAGACCCTGCAGGGAAGGCAGGGTTGGGTTCAGACCCTGCAGGGTAGGCAGGGCTAGGTTCAGACCCTGCATCATCGCTGCATGGTAGGCAGGGTTGGGTTCAGACCCTGCAGGGTAAGCAGGGTTGGGTTCAGACCCTGTAAGGTGGGCAGGGTTGGGTTCAGACCCTGCAGGGTAGGCAGGGCTAGGTTCAGACCCTGCATGGTAGGCAGGGTTTGGTTCAGACCCTGCATGGTAGGCAGGGTTGGGTTCAGACCCTGCATGGTAGGCAGGGTTGGGTTCAGACCCTGCAGGGTAGGCAGGGTTGGGTTCAGACCAGGCAGGGTAGGCAGGGTTGGGTTCAAAGTAAAGCTGAAATTTGAAGATAGAATACGAGCTTTCATCGCCGCAATTGAGAATATTCGAGCAGCATTTTTATAAAGAATATATCGGCTAAAGCCTTTATTACATTGTTAATTGTTCCCTTATTTTTCAAATGAATTGAAATGATTTATTTCGAGCAAATGCTTAATTGTCTTGTCAGCATTTCGAGCGTTTCGAAAAATTTATTGTTGTATTAGAAAAAGGACGGAGACATATGTTGAATATCTTTGCTTAGTTTAAACGTTCGTATGCTTCGTCCAAACTGAGGAAGTAAGAATTACATTGCATAGATTATCAACATGAATTTGTTCACTTTTTCAATCTCTAATTGGATTAAACCGCTTATTTCTGGGTTGGAATAAAATGAAATGAAAATTGTTCTATTGTTGGAATAAAATGAAAATTGTTCCACCCATGAAAATATATTTTCCTAAACCATGAATAGAGGTATTAGAGATCGCTATGATGTGTGTCCTTACCTTATGATGACCTTATGATGAGTTCGGGACTTCCTAGTCCCCGGTCACGCTGATGCGCCGCCTTCGTCGTCCTCCGTCTCCGAGTCGTCGTCGGATGTAAC